ATACTAAAAAGTAAATAGCAAATTGAGAATTTTACATGGTGAATTACAAGAATTACATTTACCTCTATGTACCATTAAAAATAATGATAATGCAAGTTTTTCTTCACCTTGAAAGTTATGGTGTGGATTTGATAATGTCTGGTATTGTTAAGGAACTATTTTTGAATAAATGCCAGCAAAGGCTGCACAGTACCGGTTGCAGTAATATGCCAAGAAGTGTTGCAATGCATCAGGCCATGACCAGACATGACTATGTGAACATCAAAAATACCAGAAGTGAAATCCTTAAATGAAGAAGGAAGCACTTTTGACTGCTCCTGAGGGGTCACCACAGAGGACACATCTGCACGTTTTATTCTGACACAGATTTCACGTCGGATGCCCTTACTGATGCAACCCTCCTCCCATTTATCCAGACTGGGCCTGGGCCCCCCTGAGGCTTAAATACATTAAAGTATTAAAAATCAGGACCACACATGCAGTTTATTCTGTTAAAATAGGCACTGAAGTTCAGAAACAACATGCGCAACTGTAACTTGAGGCCAGTTTATACTACCTTCACATTATATCTAAAATATTTTATCAGTTTCTTTCTTTAAGCCAACATGCATGGGATTTATAAATATAGATTTATAGTAATCATCCATAACAATCTGGCACTACAGAAAGAAGAACACAAACTCCATTGTTAAAAGCAGTTAAATGAAGGGCAGTGCTTACAAATTAAATGTAACAGCAAAAGCACCCATCACTCATAGTAGACCTGTTTGTTTAACATTGACAGTGTGTCTTTCTTAAAAGAAAACACACTATCATGTGTGTTAGGACACATTCATTCTTTTAAGAATATATGATGTTCGATACATTTTCTTTTTTTTTTTATAGAAACGATAGTCTTTATATAGGACTTTAAAAAAAGGGGTGTACAACACATAAACTGACCGACATCAGAACAACATATAATGGCTCCCTGAAAACTTTCTTTTCCTAACTAAACATGAGTAACTTCCAAGTCTACAACAAAGGAAATGAAGTCTTCTAATGAAAATACGTATTAAATGCTCTTTTTTAGCAGAAAATTAAATCTATAATTAACAGCTCTCACTAAACATGTGGCTAGCAATTAAATCATTTGCAAAATAACCAAAACGCTGTTATCAAACAATAAACTGCAATAAAAACTGTTCCAACAAAAACTAAACATCAGAAAGTAAACCTAGTTTTTCTGAATTGGTCACTATGTCAGAAGTTTCTTCTGAGGCCACTTTAAATTTCACAAATGACTCAAGTTGTAGAAGTTTTTCTTGACTACAAATGCAAAATTTTTATTACACATGTGTTCACCGCAGCTTCTTTAGCAGGCAGTAAAACTCTGTGGTGGTTTTGTTGAAGAACTTCAACAGCATTAAAATTCACATACCCTAAAGCCCATCCTTACCCATCTGCACGTCAGGAGGGGTGGCCGACGGAGTCAGCACATCTTCATGTTCTGGCAGCACCATCTGGTGGTCTGAGCAGAAAGACTCCTGGCTGCAGCAGGAGGTGGTGTTGGTGTTGGAAGTGGAAACTGAAAGAGGGAATCTCTGCAGGCTCGCGGGGGTGCTGGGTGGAGTTGGCATCTGACAGATGTCATCAGTGGGAGGTACAGAGAAGACCACAGGCACTCTGGAATCTGAATCTCTGTTGATAAGCATGACCTGAATGGGAGCAGAGTGGCTGCGCAGGTTCACCTGGTACTTCTTTTGACCACTCTGACCCTTAAAAACAGCAGCATGTCATTAAGTATGTCATTTAATAAAGCAGTTATATAGTTGATCTTTTTTTAAGAATATTTAAAACTGATCACATGATCACAAGGACATGAAATAAGATGCTTGCAGTGATAAACACAGAAAACTATCAGACAAATGTGCAGCGTTTTTAGGTTTGCACTGTTTAGTTTCTGTGCAACTTTACAGTTTTACTGTTTACCATCACAGCAATATCTAGATGCTCACAAAGTTACAGGCAAGCTGATTGATGTTAGAGCACACATAGGCCATTATGTACAAAATAAAAAGCCAAATGTAACGAGAATCTTGCAGCTCACTCACAAGCTTTTATCCACCTGTAATAAAATCTGCTAGACAAAGCCTGTGCTGTGTCTGGCGTCTGCTCTCATTATAGCAGAGTCAAATAAAACAGTACATTTCTATACAACCAAAGCAATACTACCATTTCTGGCAGTGGCACCTCCAGCTGAGTCCCAGCAGGAGCCACAACAGCTAGAAGGGTTTCTCCACTAAAAGCGCTGCAGATGTCTTCATGCGTCACAAATTTATATGTGTAGAAGTGTTAAAGAAGCCGGATTACTGTTGGAAGGAAATGGAGACAATAAACTTGAAAAACAAGAACTGTGAGCATTGTGCAAATCGGGATTAGCCTGGATGTCATTTCACTGCTTGACAATGGCAATTATATTTATAATCCCTGCTTTATAGTGTTTTCTCTGATCAATAGGCAAACAATGTTAAAAGGATCAGAGAAGGATTTGTTGTCTCTGAACTGAGTAAATGGGGCCTCAAGGGAACTAGAATTACAAACTATGCAGACAACACTACAAAAAACACCCGGTGATATTTCACTGCAAAACAAAGCAAGCCCTACTAACAGATATTTTACTCATTTAATATGAAAAAACTAAATTAATATTTGGTTATTTTACAAATTCTTAAGATGAAAAAGAAAATCAAAACTTCTGTTCTGCCAACATATGATAGAAAAGGCAGAGCGATGACATGAGATGCACAAAAGCAGCGTCTCCAAGTGAACTAAGAAAAACATTTATTTCAAAAAATGTAGTCATAAAAAGGATATGTGTTGACAATGGGATCATGGTTCAAGTGTTTGATGTTTTCCTCCAGCCAGGCCTTCTGGTTGTCCAGCTCTTTCTCTTGGGCTTCCAGCTCAGCAATTTGGGCCTTTAAGACATTTACCTGCTCCAAAGCCTCCCCAGTTTGGCTGGCTATGTTCTCACCCCTTAACATAATGTACAAGATAAGGATGTTTTCTCAGCATTTGCTCCATCTGCTTCATCTTCAATTAAAGTGTGTTTATCTTTAAATTAATGTAAGCACCAACTCTGAATGCATTTTTAAATCTACAGAAACATTAAAATAATAACAACTTTTTGAAATAGCAAACATTTTGTTTCACACCTCCACTGGATTACATTCTTGTTTTTCTTCTCAATTAGCCCCACCCCTTCCAGTACATTGGTGATATCATATATCCTCCTCTTCTGCTTCACTGCCAAGCTGTCTGCAGCCTGTTAATTCAGACAGACATATCAACATCACATCCATATTTCCATATCAGCTGTTCGTTTATAGCATCTTGAGATATACACTTGCAGGTCCATCATAGATACCAGGAAGTTTCTGCAGGAAATGCTTCATCTGTGAATCCAAGAAATAGGGAATTTGGCAAATTAAGCTGCACAAAACAACAAATCAAACTCCTTGGCAGAAGAAGCCAGTTATACAATACCAGAGGCGAAGGGAGGAGGGAAAGGGCTGAGTAACCTGCTGTGTAAACATTGCCCAAGTTTGGCGGGCAAGAAGAGAGGGAAAATGCTACCAATGATAATAAATAAATAAATAAATAAATAAATAAATAAACAGCTGCAGTAATTAAAGCTTCAAGTAGATCAGAGATTGACAAAGGCAGTTAACATGAAACAGAAGTCTCTAAGGAGAGCACTGGAGTGTGAAAGTCATTTACAAATTTTACTGGATGCCCAATACTTAAGGACATTGCTAGTGGGAAAATTCAATAGATGTAATCAATTATATATATAAAACTGACTGGAAAAAAACTTGATTTGGGTACCGCATTGTTATATGTTACTGCAGGATCCCACAGGGAGTCAATTGATATCTGCTAGGTCTCAGGAGCATAAAGACAGGTAGGCAGAAACCTTAATTTCAGGAGTTAAGTCTTAGCCTTCTCTTTTAAAAGAAGATGATTCCATTTCATCTTATAGCCCATGGACATATGAACCTGGTGACACTGGATCACAGGATAATGCCATGTTTAATCATAATGCAAAAAGACTGGGGATCAGGGTGCCACTCTGGCATCTCCCTGGTCGCTCATTAAAAGTAGGTTTCAAGGGAGTCTGCTATTAAACTTATTAAGTGTATTTTAGTGCAATTCAATTAGGCCTGATTTAGCATTAAACAAACGATAAATTGATAAAGCATATGAAATACAATGATTAGCTAATTTTCTGTCAACACATACTCTAAAAATATTTTTTCTTTTTAATGAAGAAAAAAAACCTTTTCAGTATCAGTGGAACTATAAAGGAGGAGTCCGGGTAATGGCGGCTTGTTAGTCCACCTGTTAAACAAATCAGTATACCTGACTGGACCCGTAATGACCGACAGCCCTTTGTTCGCATCTGTTGTATTAATGTTGTCAGTGGAAAACACCACTTAATGCTCCCCCCCAAAACAACCCACAAAACCCGTCGTCTCCGTTTTACTGACCACTTTCAAATCAAGGACGCCGTCCTTGGCTTCTTGGAGCAGGCTAACAAACTTAATAGTGAGAAGCCCCAAACTTTTCTCATGGCGACTCGATGTCGAGCGTGCCGTCTCAGTCGTCTCAAACTCCATCTTCTTTTTATAAAAGAAACCCTTACTTGTTTTTATTCAGCCACCTGCGTTTTAATGCGAATAACGATAATTTCTTTAAGTTAGCAAATAACGTCGGATCCCTTAACGGGACGACAGCAGCACCTGAAGGGTTTTTAAATGAACGGACGTTACGTTAGGGTCCTGTTGCTATGGCAACCCATTTGTGGCTCGTGCCACGGTCGACCCCCACCGCCGAGCTCGTGCCAACTAAGTCCCGCCTCCCCGCACATCAAACATCACTGACCAATCGGTACGATTAGTATTAGTATGGAAGCCCATAGCAGCCAAAAATATAGGTTAACATTTTTTTTAACTAATTAAAAAAAATATATAACATTTTATTGAGCTATTCTACTTATTTAAATTATTTTGTTATAGGTCGTGTTTAATTTTAGCTTTCCTAACAAGGATTTCATACCATCTCAAGTATATCTTATCATATTTTGGTAAAATTCCAAAACACATATTCAAATTAACTTTTTTTTATCTTTACTTGATAAGTCATAGTAACTTAACATTCTTGTCATTTTTATTTTTTAAAATGGGGAAAAATCAACTAATCCTAACAACTAATCCTATATACAGGATTATATATAGCACCTATTTAACACAAATTACAAAAATGTTTGGACATCTGTAAAATCACAGTGAAGTGACTTTTAAATCTCATGATCCCATGGGGTTTTTTGTCATTCACAACTGAGACATTTTGTTTTATAATGACAAGTTCTAGCTTATTTTGAGTTTGATGGACGGCAGCAACATATCCCAAAAAGGACAGCACTAGGACAATAAAAGCCTGAAAAAAAATTATTTAAAAAAAAAAGAGAGAGAGAGAGAGAGAGAGAAGCCAAAGGACCATTTTACTAATTAACTAGCAACAGATCAGTAATGTGACTGGGTATAAAAAGAGAGGTGTGTCATAGAGGCAGATTTTCTCAGAAGTAAAGATAAGCAGAGGAAGAACAGGTTCACAAATATGAAAAAAAAAAAAAAAAAAACCTGCACTACAAATTGCACAATAAATTACAATTTCAGAAAACTGTTCATCAGCATGAAATTGTGAATACTTTGAATATCTCATCATCTACAGTATGTGATAGTATCAAAAGATTCTGGGACAAGGCCAAAATTAAATATTATATGCCTGTTATCTCTGATGATATAGGGGTCCATCAGCATCAATGGCAAATTGGCAGCCTGCACCTCTGGAAATGCACTATTTATGTTGCAGGGTCTACAGATTGTAGGGCAATATACCGGAATTCCCGGACTACAGAGCGCACCTGATTAAAAGCCGCATGCTCTAATTGTAGAAAGAAAATCAATTTTGTACTTGTACAGGCCGCACCGGATTTTAAGCCGTATGCGTTTCACCTGTAATATGAGATATTTACACAGAAATATTACACGTGAGGATTTTTAACGTTTAATTTAATCCGTAAGGTAACATAAACATGGTAACATAAACGTTAACAAACATAAACATACAAAAATACATACTGCAACTGCTTTTTCCCCCTCGAACAGCGCCTGTAACACGGCTACCTTTAAGTCTACGTACGTATCGTAACACACAAATTACGTTGCTTATGGTTTTTTTACGGAACAGTGCACAAACCACATTACAACATCTCTTAACAACTGATAAAAATATATACCGTACGATATACACTACTTATCATTTTGATTGGTCTACTGTTACCAGGCAAAATGGCCGCATGAAAAAAAATATGCATTAGCCGCACGTCAGTATAATCCGCAGTGTTCACAGTGTGGGAAAAAAGTAGCGGCTTATGACCCGAAAACTACGGTATATGCTCCCATCAACATCTTTTTCTGGGAAGGCCTTGCATGTTTCAGCAAGACAATGCTAAACCAAATACTGTAGCTATTACAACAGCACGACTTCACAGTAGAGGTGTCCATGTGCCAAACTGGCCTCCAACAGTCCAGACCTTTCATCTGATACAAGACGGCCCAGGACTGTTGAGCAGTTAGAATCAGACAAGAATGGAACACCATTCTCCCAAAAGTCCAAGAACTGATCTCCTCAGTTCCCAGACATTTACAGACTGTTGCTTAAAGAAGAACGGATGCCACACAGTGGTAAACATGGCCCTAGCCCATCTTTTTTGAGATGTGTGACAATCATCAAATTGAAAATTATCCTATTTTTTTATTTCTTAAAATATTATATCTTTTCACTTGAAACAATTAATGTATTTTATTTTTTCTATTATGACTACAATATGGCTTTATGAGATGTGCAAATAATTGCATTCTGTTTTTGTTTACATTCATCACAGCACCCAAACTTTTTGGAATTAAGGTTGTATTCCTTAATTTTAAATGAAAGGAAAACCTTCTGAATTAATTTCTGTCTATCCGCCTTTCATGAGCTATCTTGGGGCATTTAGACCACAAAGCTGTAATTTAATAACCATTTCAGCCTTAAATAAAACTGCAGGTTTGCATAACATAGTGACATAACATTAAAGCAGTCAGTTTTGTGCTTTCCTGTGTTTACTTGGAACTGGAGTAGTTATGATTGTTCTTAATGTAACTCTGTATTTAAGAACACAATTTAGCTTCTTTCTATCTGAAATAACCACAAACTGTTAAATCATTATGTCTCATTAGCCTTTTGTGGTCTCTGGTTAGAAACAGAAAACAAAAATAAGATCAAAAAAGAATTTATTGAAGAAATAATACAGTACTAAAATACAACTTACTCTAAAACAAAAATACAAAAAACCCCGTTATTCGTTAAAAGTCTTTTAGTACACTGCTGAGACGTTTCATTTTCTCTTCCATGATTCTCTTGTTAGTTTCTGTCTCCTCCAGGAGCTGCCGCATCTCCTCCTCCACTTCAAATACCTGAGGAAGAAGCACAGACAGACAACATCAGCAGCAGAAACACAAACTGCTTTTCAAAATATTTGAAGCATTTTATTAACCATGTCTTGGTGGGTAAAATGCAATTAAAACCAGGCTATGACCAGAGCACACATTGGCAACATATGACCAGAGGGCCAGAACTGGTCGCTGAACCATCTCAACCCGGCCCTGGGTGTCTTAAAAGGAAAAATAAACAATCCAATAAAAAAAGGAAATGGCATATTTTATGTATCAATTTTATCTATTATGTATATTTTATGTTGAGATGAATAAGTCTAATACGTCTGTAAATGGTAAATGGCCTGTATTTGTATAGTGCTTTACTTAGTCCCTATGGACCCTAAAGCGCTTTACACTATATTCAGTGACCGAGACTGTCCGGGGCTCGAACCGGCAACCTTCCGATTACAAGATGAACTGCCAACTCTTGAGCCACAATCGCCCCCAATAATACCATTTAGTAAGACTCCAAATGAATGTGTGACACACAAACAACCCTTTTCTGTGCACTACAGCCCTTTTTACTCATATTTTTCTGGGGGGAGGGGGGTGTCAAGATTTACTTTACTGTCATTCAGCACTACTTCAAAGATGTAATGCAGAACAAAACTATGTTGCACAAGCTCACTTCTTGGTTTTTGGACTGAGGTCCCATTCTTATTTGTAATGTGTACAAAAATCCATGCACTATCATTCAATGCTGTGTGTACCATGTTTACATCAAAGTGCAGCACTTTACTTACTTTATTTTAGACAACATAGCCCTCTGAAGTAAACCCACCCCTTGACTGGAGGTATGACAAAAGAAAACACTCTTTACTTTAAAACATTTTCCTCGTCATTAGTTTTTAATCTAACGTTGTCACAGTCACTTTTATTTTGTCCAGAAAAAGTGATGAATGTCATCAGCTGTTGCATAACAACAAACCGTTACAGTATGAGAAGAATTTCAGTTTTTCAGTGACTGAATCTACCCCATAATTTATAATGAATTATGAATCCAACAGTGAAGCAAGCGACTAAAGTCTGTTACGAAATGCTTCCGTTGCAGCCTCTCTTACACCTTATTTTTGAACTGTCACAGAGGAGGCGAACCAACGCTTGCGTTCCCCTTTCTCATACCAAGATATAGCAGTTTCTTTCTTCCACTTTGGAGAAAAAAACATTTGTGGGAAAGCTGCCCACATTTTACCTTCTGACTAGCCTCTTCTATCTTTTGGTGTTTTTCATTAGCAAGTCCCAGAAGCTCAGCTTGATGGGCAGCCTGGACGGACTCCAGCTGTCGACGGAAAGCATCGTCCAGGCAGTGTAATTTCTCTAGTGCAGCTCTGCGGAACAGACCAACACAAACGTGACAGGTTGCGTAAGGAGTGGTACTTTGGATGCTCTCCAAATGCTGCCTTGGGAAAAATATATGTCTGCGTTTTTGATGGTGAAGGGCCACAGGTATAAAGTACTAACACAGGAAGTGCAGCCTTATGTGATCATTTATTTACAACAAAAGCATTCACCTTGACTTGCTTTATGAGGAAAAGACTCAAACACTTTCCTAATCCTGATATGACATCTGAGACTTTTTAAGTACCATAACATTACAGTTTCATAAGGGCTTTGTTAAAAACTACTTCTTACTGGTGCAAAATTTACAAAGCTATATATCATCTTTCTTCTGACTTCTTCCCAGCAGGCAGGCAAACATCAAACACACAACAATCAATGATAGAAACCAAACAACAGCACTCTAGGCACCAAGAAAGGCACATAAAATGCATTTCAACATGCCTGACCCAAGAGAGTGAACCAGCAGCAGTGCAAAAGTATCACTGAAAGTCCCTGATAAGGGCAGTCTCTGAACAACAGGGAGAGAATAACTTGATATTTAACATACCTGTGTGCTTCCGTTGCCTTTTCTCTTTCTTCCAGCAGCAAGCGCTCCCTGGAATCAAAGTTCTCCTTCATATGCTTCACCTGGCTCTCCAGCCGAGTGAGCAAGTCTGCCTTCTCCTGCCACTTCTTAGTGGATTCACTAAAAAAATGAAAGACACAAAGCATAAAACATACTGGTTTAGAAACAGCTTAAAACTTTAATGTCTGATCATCTTCGGGTCGGCAGTAGCAGTCTAACATTGGAACTTGTTTGATTTAAACACAATTGTTACCCTAAAATGTCAGAAAGTACTCTGCCTAAGGCAGGTCCTTTTCCTTTTTGTGGTTATGCTGGGGTACTTGCCTGTAAACTCTTTTGACCTGCTCGAGCTCTGCCTCCTTGTCTTCCAGCTGCTGCTTCAGTTCCTCCTTGCGCAGGCTCAGATGTTCCACTCGCTCTTTCAGTTCAGCCTGCTGGGTTGTTTCCTCCTCCAGCTGCTCTTGAAGCCTCTTCTGAGCCTTTGCTGCCTCCTCCTTCAGCCTTCGGATCTGATCATCACGCTCCTGCAAGGACTACAAAGCAGTGACTGATAATGAGAAACTGCATGTTAATATGAATAAATGCATAAATGATTACAAAGCACAACAATGACGGTTAAAACTCAAAAGTTTTGTTTTGTTGTTGTTTTGCTTGGAGTTTGAGCCCTCTGGCTTGAGTAATACAAGTTCTCAACCTACTTCTTTGAGTCTGCGAATGGTTTCCATCTGGTCGTCCATGATTTTGGCTTTGATTCTAAGAGTATCATTGTCCTTCTCGTTCTGTTTCCTTTGAGCCTCCAACTCAGCACTCAGCACCTCTATCCTGGCCTCTAAACGACCACGGTCCTGAGCCAAAGACGCTCCTGGAAAAGAATAACCCATCAAAATTTCGCTTTAATTCCCTATGTAAACACATGTGGAAGACAAACGTTAAGAGAGATATAAAAAATAAAGCTGGCCCGGTGTTTTCTAATTGTGCATCTGGGCTATAACCACTAGATGGCAGACGTTTACCTGATAAAAATTTAAATCAGCACGTACTGTATTGAGCCTCTTTTTAAATTACCTCTAAGGTGGAAATCTCCAAAATTTTATGAGTTAAGCACAAGTCAGTGCATTAGATTGGCTCCAGGGAGGACCCGCACCACTGATTGCCAATAAACAGCTAAAACTGCATTATCAGCTTTTTCTGTGCACTGCAGGGCAGACTCAAGGTGCAAAACAAGTACTCTCCTGAATTTTTCCCACCTTGCTGAGCGAGCTCCTGGCCCCAAATCCTCCTCTCTACCTTGAGGCCGTCTATCACCGACTCCTGAGCCATGAGCTGAGACAACAGTCTAGCCTTATCTTTCTTAAGCAACTCTAGCTGCAGGCCAAGACGCCGGCCCTGTCCTACCTCTGCGTCCAAGGAATGCAGACGGCTCTGGCAGAGAGAGACAGACAGTATTAATGATCAATGGCCATCTGTCATGGATGGCAGATGGGAAGGCAGCTGGACCATTCAGTATTCATGATGTCTCAAAGTAGTCAGTCTCCTACAGGACCAGGGTTAACATGTTTTTGAAAAGGCAGTGACTGATGAATCTGTGCCCATGCTATCTCACATGAAGTCATATTTCAATATTTTAAATCCTGCAATCTGGGCTCAAATCCAGTTGAAATGCTGGAATAAAAATCACCCACATCTCCCTCTCTTACTGCAACGCTGCACACCTTTAGATGAGTGACAGCATCTCTCTTGACTTTGATGAGGTCAGAGATGTGGCTCTTCTGTTCTTTGACCAAAACAGTGAGCTCCTGCACTAGAGAGCTTGATTTCCTCTGCCTCTCTTGGGACTTGGCCAGGGTTGCCTTGAGCTCCATCAGCTCTGCAGTCATCTGATCACACGCCTCCTTTACCTACAGAAAAAAGTGAGAGTGCGGAACTGAATGTTAATAAGAAATCTTGGGAGTTAACCAAAGTGTAGGTCCGAGCATTACCTGACACTTTAATCGGTCAGAACAGTTTCAGAGCCATGGCTTTACAGAAACACGTGGCCAGCAATAGCTTTTTCACACTTTTCTCAAAGGTCAAAAGTTTGGGTGACTAAGAGCAGAAATTTGTGCAAGCAGTAGCAATCAAAAATGAGATTACATTTTTGAACATTCTGAATGGATTCGAGCCCAATCCTTTTGTAAGCTTCTGTCCATGTGGCAGTCAAAGACTACTTGTCCAGAGGCAAAAGATCCTAATTCAATACCAGTTTTCCCCATCGTGCTGGAAAAAAAAACCCCATCAGCCAAGTCTCTCCCAACTGAGTGAAATCAAGTTCAATCATTTCACTTTTTAGTGTTCAAAGTAATCATTTATCAGCTGGACTGCTCAGAGATTGTAGTGTAAAATTCAGGGCAACATTACAGTGATTATAGGCCATCTGGATGGCAGGGGTCCATCTTTTAGCAGACCTCAGAGAAGCGAGCAGCCTCGATGGTTAGCGCCATGCGGAACTCGTCCTCCAGAGCAGTGTACTGTTTCCTGCCCTCTGCCAGCTTCTCCTGCAGCTCCGCCTCCCTGTGGCTGTGCCTTTCTTCCACTGATGCCACTTCCTTCGCCACAGCATCACGAAAATCTGCCCCACCGGGTTGTAACCGCAACTCTAGTTGTTTTCTGTAGGAAGGATGAAGCAAACGAGGATAAGGCATTAGCCTCGACTGTGTCCTCAACAGAAACTCTAAAGGCATGTAACTGCTTATTGTAATCTGTTTTTGCATTTGCATCTTTTTTTGCATTTGCATCCAATATTTAATTTAGATGCAAATTTCTAAATTAAACAACATTAGATATTAGAACCCGTTGAAACTTGGCATTAAATCAGGTACCTTAGGGGGTTCGTGACAAATAAGCAATAATAAAACTTTTCCAGATTTCTAAGCATTTTATAATATTTCAAAATTTATGAGAAATGTTGCATTTATCTAGGATCACACTGCTCATGAGAAGCAACTCTTTTACAGAAATGGTTTCCATGGCATCTAAAGATGAACTTTATATTTAGCAGGGGTTCTTCTTCTTAGATGTACCTGTGCTCTTGTTCCCTGGCTGCCAGCAGTTCATGCAGCTGCTGCAGTTTGTCTTTGTGCTGTCGTACTGACGCTCTCTGGATGTCCAACTCTCTCTTCAGAGCTGCTGCCTTGTTCTGCAGCTCCTGTTGCCTTTTTATCTGAGGAAGGTCAGCACATGTTTTATAAAAGCCTGTCAGAGCTGAATGACCTCTCTGTGCTAAATCCTTTTATCTATCTGAATGTATTCACTCCAGGCTGGATCAGTGAACTAATGCGTTGTTACAATCAAAAATTAGAGCGATAAGGGGAGCTCAGCGGCAGGTAATTGAATGTGGCAGAAGCAGTGTGATAAACTTGCTTTGATGGGAGAAAAACTGTATGTCGAGCATCGATTAGCACCGCCTGACTGAATATACCTTATCTTTATCAACATGATTTGTTCTAGGGGAAATAAGCGAACATCTGTACCTCTTCAGCCTGCTGGTGAGCCCTAAGCGCTTCTCCGTGGGAAACGCTTTCCTCCAGTCTATGCAGTGCAGTTTTGTGCTGCTCCTCACAGCTGCGGGCCTGCTCCAGCTGCTGGGTTAGGGATTGACACCTCCCCTCCAGCTCCTCAAGACGAGCCTGCAGCTCAGAGTGCCCTGATCGCTCTTTCAGCAGCAATTCTTTCAGTCTGGACGGGGAGAAAAATACAATAAGGGTGTCCAAGAGAAGCTGCGGTAATACCCTGAATTTCTCTTTTCACTTTATATAGAAATTGGTACCAGAAAGCACTCCCCAATTCTGTGATGCCCTTGGCTGTCCTTCCATAGTGTCAAATATGTGATAGCTTTTGAAATTGAAGAACTCTAACACTATAGTATAGTCAAAATCTTATCTCATGGGAGAGACAATGGAAGTAGAAATGGAAATGAGGCACACAGGGGACAACTAAGAAACTACAAAACAGTAGAAGCAGCTCACGCACAGTAGTCCACTATTAAAATGTGCTTTGATGAGTCACTGTAATCTGTCTCTCGCTGAGCATGGACGGCAACAGTAACAGCCGTGTTCAGTGTCATTAGAAAGTGACAGTTAAGATTGATTTGTGTAATACTGCTGACATATGCGCGTCATCGGGCCTCTAATTACAACCATAATGCAGATTTATCTAAGCAGGATGTGGTGCCAGCGAAGACCGTACAGAGCAGAAGTAAAATGGCCTTGTGGCAGCAGAGATAGGAATATTTAATCAAAGCCTCTGGAAATTTAAATGTTAGGTATATAATCAGGATGGCTGCGTCGCTTAATGATCTTTATACTAAATAGCTTTATTATCGCAGACAACTGCAGGCATACTTGAAAGGTTTTTGGTGTAATGGAGCCAAAATGTGAGCATGATTTCTAAAGAGACTATGGCACCGTGATAGTGAGACATTTTAATGGTGGGATGGATACTCATTGTTCAACAATGAGACACGCAGCAGGCCTTGGTCTCAAGAGAGCCAATACAAAAGATGAAGAGAGTAGAAACAGATGAGGATCCATTATGAAGCTGACAACTAAAATCCACAGAGAAGAGTTCAATTATCGCTTTTTTCCAGCATGATATCTGCTTTAGAGCTGCCTAACAGATTCAAGTGGAGGTTTGTGATGAAAGGCGTCCACGGTAAACGTGCCTCCCTCTTACCTGTCTGTAGTGTGCAGGGCCATGCTCTGAAGGTCCTTTTCCTCGCTGACCTTGGTCTGCAGGCACTTGAGCTCCTCTGTTAGCTTTCTCACAGCTTGTTCTGCCTTCCAGCGTCTTTCCCGTTCCTGGTCACGCTCCTCCACAATCGTCTGAGCAGAACACATACACAAAGCATGAATTCCAAGAGTAAACACACACTGAACGCAAAAAAAAAAAAAAAAAAAAAAAAAGGTGTCATTATTTTTTCTTTAAGTTGAAATATCAATTTCTTCTTACAGCTCAAGTGTTTTTTACAGTTTTATTTAAAGCATCTCGTTGTTTTTGTAGGAACAATGAAAACAACAGTGAGGATTTTTACCCCCCCTGTATAAACAAGTGAGTACCCCCCAAAAAATATTATTAGGAATAAAAAATATTTCCACCATTTTTCTCTCGTGTTACATCTGCTTTGAGGATAAATCCAATATTAGAAATTATTGCATGGGATACGTGCCAGAAACAAAAGGCTGTGATGTCCAAAAAAACATTAAAGAACAACTACCATCTGCCAATAAACATGGAGGACATGACACTGCTTTTTTTTTTTTTTTTTTAATAATATGCTCTGAATGGGCAGATCAAATAAAAGAGTTGTTTGGCCACAGTGGCAGCAGATATGCTCGATGCATATGAATCACAGTTTTTCAGGAAGAGACCCTGAAAGAGTCTGTGAATTATGACTGTAGAAATATTATGACTGGTGTTGCTTTGCTGCCTCAGGATTGGGGAGTTTGCAGGAATTGATTGAACTCTGAATTCTGCTTGAAGATAACAGACGAGTGTTTGTCCAAAAGTTGAAGTAAAAGTTGACCCGTCAGCAGGATAAAGAATGGCAGACAAAGAACAAGAAGCACAGATTTAAATCATTTCAGATGTTGGGGGCATTTGAAGCACACAGTATAAGTATGAAAAATCCTTAATCTCTTGCAATAGAATGAATTTTACATGGAGGTTGTCAAATAATATCAGCAAACTAATGTAAGAGACTTGTAGAGAACTACACGAAATGCCTACAAGAAGTTTGTTCTGTTACTTTGACAGAAGAATGTTGGATCTGTTGATATTTTTGTTGAATAAATGATTGAAAAAATAGAAACTTTCTTTGTGGAAAAAAAGAATGGAATGTTTACTTACCACAACAAAAAGCCAAGAGTTTCACTAAATGTACTGAAATTAAATAACAGATGAAGGCTTGAACTCTAGGCTACTGGCTTGAACTCTATTTTGCGCGTAATTTAACAAAGTTACCACAAAGAAGTTATTGACATCACAAAGATAAAGTCAAGGTTACTGAAACAAAGCTCTCAGAAACAAAGAGCAAAACATGAAAAACCTTCTGTTTACTGTGGTCCTATTTCTGCTGTCACCTTCTAGAAGCATGATCCATTTATTCGATTCCTGCATTTTTTTTTTTTGTTTACACAAATGTTTCTGCAAACACACCAATTTACTCTCCTTTTGAATGGGGACAGGACCGTTTCTATTTTACAGTCACTCAATAAAAACAGAAGCAGCTAGGTGACTAGTCCATCGTGTACTGTGATGGCATGCCACACATTGTAAGCTCCACACCTCACCACCAGTTGATTCACCTTAGTTTAATTTACAGTCACTACTTTAAAATATTCTACTTATTGTTCAATATTGTTTCTTTATTAAATG